TGTTCAGGCAGGGAAGATTTAACATTACGTGTTAATATTTTTTACCCTCTGTTTCGGCAGAGAAGAATTGGTTACCCTCTGTTTTGGCAGGGAAGTTTAGCGTAAAGTGCTAATAATTTGTGTTATCCTCTGCTTTGCCAAGGAAGGTTAACAATAGTTGATGTGTTAACAAGCGTACCCTCTGTTGATCAGAGAAGTTTTAGTGTTTTGATTGTGTGGTAACAAAGAAACTCACAAAATGTTTAGAAAGAATGCTAGACTGATCCCCACAACTGAAAAAGGTGGTCTCGCGACTCCTTTGTGGTCAGATAGCGAATTCAAATCACTGTTAGGAGTGCAAATGAACCTAATAGTCACTGAGAAAGTTAGACAAGAACTAACTCAGAAATATGAGATCCATCCTGACAAGACTTGGTCTGTAGATGAGTGTAAAAAGGTACTAGGAGCATGTATTCGCAAGAACAATGTGAAAGGCATTATCTGCTGCCACAGAGAATTTGGTTTAGCGCTAGCTACACAACAGTCTCAGCGCAACTCGGAGCTAGAGGAACAGAACAAAGAGCTCCGTGCTAGAGTATCCTCTTTGACTAAGAAATTGAACCGCAACAAAGCTGCAGCAAAAACTGATGTGGAAGAAGTTAGTCAGCCTGATAACAATTATCCTGACTTACAAGCTTTCTTTGAAACAGATGTAGCCATCCAATCAGTAACTGATGTGCCTGTAGATTCAGTGAAGGTATGTGGCGCTAGGAGAAAGACTCAGGGAATTGAGGGAATTGAAAGTTTTTCCTCCCAACCTTCTGTTGTCCAAGGAAAAAACGTTTGCCAAAGCCCTGGGACCTAAAGATATAGAGAGACTATCCCAGAGCTTACCCTCAGCACGCACAAATGTTTCTGAATTTAGAAGAGCATTGATCAGCAAAATGCGTCTCTACGACATGTCGTTAGCAGAAGTCACACAGCTGATGTCACAAATTCTAACTGAATCTGAATTCAACAGTTTTGAGTCTGCTGTTACTTCTGAACTACAACATGCCAGTAAAGGCGATTTGAGAGAAGGTGTTTTGAAAATTCTAAAGAATATCATGGGACCCAAAATAGACTGGTCCAGAATCACTAACTGTGTGCAAAGGAAAGAAGAAACTGTGAGTGAATACACTGAAAGGTTTTGCCAGTCAGCTGCAGCATACAGTGGAATAGCTGACACTCCAGAGAAGGTACTGGATCATAAAGGACCACTAGTTCGAGCATGGTTTGATGGCCTTTTATCAGAGTACAGATCTGCTTTGCCGTTCTTAGATCTAACATGGTCCACTGGAAGTTTGCAAAAAGTTTCCTACAGTACCTTGAAGCAGGGCAACCCAACCCTAATTAACTACAAATGAAAAAAAATTTTCAGAGCAATATTGATAGTTACTGATTAAAGTTTTTATGTTGTTGTCATTAAATTATCAGAGCAATTATAATTCAATTGCATACTGTTGGAGCAGGTGTTAACTGTTAGGGCTGTGAGTGCTTAATTTCCCCTGTAATCCATCACAATGACAACAATGACAAAATTAAAGGTAGCATACAAGAGAAAGAGATTGACTTTTTGCTTGATACAGGTGCAG